AGGGTTTCCTGTCTAGGCAGGGGGTTGGACTAGAAGACCTCCAAGGTCCCTTCCAACTCTGCTATTGTATTGTATTGATTTTACTCCTGTTAAAAGTAACCTCAAAGCAGATAGTAAAAACATAATGAAGAAAGAAAGCCAGGGCTATCCAATTCCAGCCATTGCAATCAAGTAACGCCTGAGCGTCTCTTGAGGGCTGAAGGGTCTTCAACGGGGGCAGCTGGAAGCCATCTTGGTGTGTGAACCGGCAGCCAGCCCAGGTGGTTGAGAATGGCAGCAGCAGCTTCTAGCGTTTCAGGAGCAAAGGCCTCTTTCCTGAATATGAGCACAGACTGGAGGTGTGCCCAGACAGCTTCTTGGCCAGAGAGAATAACAGAGGGACCTTAGAGGTCTTCTAGTCCAACCCCCTGCTCAAACAGGAAACCTTGTACCATTTCAGACAATTGGTTGTCCAGTCTCTTCTTAAAAAAACCTCCAGTGATGGAGAACCCACAATTTCTTGTGGCAAGCTGTTCCGCAGGTTAATTGTTCTCACTCTTAGGAAGTTTCTCCTTACTTCTAGGTTGGAAGGATTCTCCCTTAGGATCCCTCCCCAACATTATGCAGACCCAGAGCCAAAAGAGAGACTATCTGGAAGGGATGCCACCGGTTCCAGCATACCCAGAAAGCACTGGGTTGGCCAGGATCCCCCCCGTCTGCTTCCAAAGCATCCGTCCTTGTCAGGTCTTTGAACTGGATCCAGGAGTTTCCATGTGTAAACCTGGCCTCACATCCTTGGCTGTGGCTCCTTACATTTCGCAAAAAATGAAAAAGAGAGCTACAATCTTGTAGAGCAGGGAATCCCAAACTTGGCAACTTTCAGATTTGTGGACTTCAACTCCCAGAATTCTCCAGCTAGCAGAGCTCTGTTCTAGAGCATCATTTTTCTGCCTTGGTCAGTTGAAGATGTATGAACTTCAGTGGCCAGAATCCCCCAGCCAATCTGGAGGATTCTGGGAGTCAAATGGCCAAGGTTGAAAAAAAAAATCTTCCTCTGGATTTACTAGATCTGAGTTGCCAAAATTCAGACATCAATAAGAGGGCAGTGAAGGCTCCAAATTTTGGAAGCTCTCTGGCACCCTCTTCTGGCTGCTTGCTGGAGTCTCAAAGGGGCTTTTTCAAAAAAAGCAGTGGGACTGTTTTTTGCAAGAGGAAGAAGGAAGATGATGGTGATGGTGAAGGAGGAGGAGGAGGAGGCTTTTAAGAAGAGACTGGCCAATTACTTGCCTGGAATAGTCTAGCATCTCCTGCTTGAGCAGGGGGTTGGACTAGAAGATCTCCAAGGTTCCTTCTAACGCTCTTATTCTGTAGCCTGTGGTCCATAGCCTGTGGCTTCCACCAGCATCTTACTCTGTGTAGCTGAAGGAAAAAGAACCAGCCGCTTGTAGCCACAGCCATTAACTGGAGCTGGCTGATATTCATGTCCTATTTTGACAAGGTTGGATGCTTTGTAATTAATTTTTCTACCTCTCCCCTCCTCTTGATTATCCCCCCCCCCCCAAATCTAATACTTTGCTTTATTGCAACTGGAGATTTGGTGCTGGGTTAAAAAAGGAAGTAGATTATCCTATTTAAATTCCGTTAGAATCCTGTTACGCATATAATTAATATTGTAAGCTCCAGCCTCCTTTGAAGGCAGATTAAATCCTCAAGAGCCGGCAGGTGGGAGGAGGAAGGGAGGCAGGTAGGGGCACTCCGGGGGTTTCCTTAAACCTCACAAAGTGCGTTTCACAAGAGACGGTGACTTTGAGCACGTCCTCTGCTAGCAGGGATTCCCCTGCGGGCTGCAGGCATAATTTTGCTATCATGATAATCACCCCATAATCAATTGGGGAAGGCTTGTCAATGCTTAGATGTTTTTTGTGTGCCAGATCTTACAATTTTGCAGCCATGCTGCAGGTACAATCTGAGGGTGAGTTCCGGTTGCCCCTACTGCCAGTTCACTCAGGGACATGCCGCGCCCCCACGTGCGCAGTGCAACAAAAATTGCTCTGCGCATGTGCAAAAGGTAAAAACAAGATGGCGCCGCCTATGGTGCTGCCGAGTGAATCAGTTCGGAGGCGTGGGTCACTGCCGGTTCCAGCCACCCAAGCCACCAAGTTACTACCGATTTGACCGAATCAGTCCAAATTGGTAGGAACCCACCTCTGGTACAATCAACATTATCATCCCTTTCCATAGGGCAGGGGTCAGCAAACTTAAACACCCAAAGAGCCATTTGAACCCATTTCCCACATTAAAGAAAACACTGGGAGCCACAAAGGTCCTAACCAGAAACCTCCTGTTCAATTCTGGAGCTGACCGGAAGTTCAGTTCCCCCACCAGAGAGTTTCCTCCGAGCACAGCATACTTTTTCCTCTACCTGTCATAACAGAAAGCCCTAGCAATTGTGGGGACAACTGGGAAACCCTCCCCTTGCCATAGAGTCTTCTCCTGGCGCGCTGTGCTTCTCTCCTCCCCCCCCCACACACTGGAAGCTCCTCTCAAAATTGTGATGCCGACCGGTGACGGAGCCGCAGCAGAGAGAGGAAAGACCCACATGCGGCTCCAGAGCCGCAGTTTGCTGACCCCCCGCCATAGGGGAGAAATTGGAAGGAGAGAGAAAAAGAGGTTTGCTAGTGAGGCCGTGGCAAAAAAAAGCCCCTGAGATTTCAATGATGTGTGTGTGTGTGTGTGTGTGTGTGTGTGTGTGTGTGTTACTTGGTTGCGTGTGGCTCCTTCCTTCTACCTTTGCTGGACTCCTGATAACCCCCTTCCCGGCTCTCCCTCCCAGCTTGGACCCCCCACTTCATGTTGCCTCTTGTCTTTCTGTTGTCAGGTCCGTGGGATGGAGACCTTTCCCCAGGGCAGTATCAAGCCATCTCCCTCCCAGCTGGGGGGGCTGCCCTCCCCAACGGTCTCCCTGCTTCCTCCTCCTCCTCCTCTTCCCCCCTCCATCAGCTCCATTGCCTGCCTCCAATGCTTCCCCATCAGCCTCTTTTCAGTTCCTTCGGCTACCGCCGGCTAGCCCATGGCGGCACGGAGAGGCCTTGCGCCAATCCAGGTAGACCCTCCATTGCTTGGTTTGTTTTACGTTCTCTTCTGTTACGCTTTGGCCATATTGAAGGGGGGGGCGGTTCCTTCCATTGATCCTGACATATGTTTGTGCAGCTTTTCATTTTGCTGGGTTTCTGTTGGGTGGCTTTGCACGTACAGGAAATGTGGTTGGGCTGATGAAGATGAGGAGGTGGTTGATTCAGCAGCTGGGGCACAGCAGTGGGGTGATAAGACATCAGGTTCACTAGGGCACCGCAGGGCTACTCTCACAAAATGGCTGCCATGGGAGGTGGGGCCAGTCCCAACACTTGTAGATTAGAGCAGGGGTTGATGTCCATAAGTCTTAAAGTTGCCAAGGTTGGAGACCCCTGGATTAGAAGACCAACCACCTGCCACCACTTCTACACCAGAAAGGCCTCATCACCTCCTGCCGTTCTTCTAGCTCAGGGTTCTCCAATGTCAGCCATTTTAAGACTTGTAGATTTCAACCCAGCATAGTTCGCTTGCTGGGAATTCTGGAAATTGAAGTCCACAAGTCTTAAAGTTGCCAAGGTTGGAGACCCCTGTTCTAGAGGCAGGGCAATGGTTCTGTCGACTCCTCGCCAAGAATTTCTTTTCCAAGAATGTCCTTGGGATCTTGAACGGGGTTGGATGTGTCCTTGGGAATGAAGACCTCACTCGATCATGGTTCTCAACTCTGGCGACTTCCAGAAGTATAGATTTCAACTCCCAGAATCCCCTAGTTTATGGGGCTATTGCTGAGGATTCTGGGAGTTGGATCCACACAAACGGAATTTTGCCCAGGCTGAGAGACACTGTGGTAGAGGTTTCTCACACCATTTGAGGGTGGGGGGAGCCCCCTTTTAGACAAGAGGTGTAGGAGAGAAATGTCATGGCAGACGAGTCACCCCAAGGGTGCCCTGCCTCACCTCTGTCTGCCTCCGCTTGGCTTTTCAAATGCCAGCAGTGTTTGCTGGCCTGCGGGGAGGATGAAGAAAGAGAAAATGAGCAGAGAGGCGGATACAATTCAATGCAGGCCAACAGGTCCCGAGGACTCCCTTTTGCCTAATGCAGATAAATATTTTGATAGATATTTTATATGCTGTTTTGTGACTTTTTCTGCATTGGTGGTATATCTTGATGAATGTATTCTATTTTATTTTTCTTTATGTACACTAAGAGCATCTGCACCAAAGACAAGTTTTTGTGTATGTCCAATCACACTTGGCCAAAAAACTATTCTATTCTGTTATGTGTCAGCACACATACAATCTCTCTCTGTCTCTCTGTCTCTCTCTCTCCCTCCCTCCCTCCTTCCCTCTCTCTTTCTGGTATCTACCATATACAGTAGATGTGTATAGCATAACAAAATATACCATTAATGCATAAATAAATCACAGAACAGCATATAAATGTCTATCAAAATATAAAATATTAGAGCAGTGAATTATTTTAAAAACACATAGCATGAGTGATGAATAAAATTATCAATATAATTAAATTATGTATGAGCAGTTACTGGGTGGCTAAACCAATGGCCAGCTATCCAGATCATTTCGCCCAGCTGAGAATGGTAGATGCAGATGTGGTGGAGGCTGGAGGGCCAGGAATTACTTCCAGGAGAAAGCTGAATTTTGAGACATGTACAGGAAGTGGAATTTGAGAGAGTGGTTTGAAAAATGGGAGAAGTGAGAGACTGCAGAGGATTGTCAAAAAAAAGTCAAGATGGCGCCACCATAATGCAATCAAATCTCTGTCTGCCTGTTATGCCATCATGGCTCTCTTGAGTTTCTTGGCGATGCCCTGCAGATGTCCTGGGAGAAGAGAAGGGGTGTGAGAGCAAGTGTGTAAGCCTTGGTTTCTGTTTTGTTTTCTCGATCCTTTTATCATTTTGTCATCTCCCTTCCCTAACCTTCCACTACCCGAGCCAACCCTCACAGGTCCTGGATTCTTCTTCAAGGATTTGGGGTCTTGTTTTCACAAGTGTTTAATCCAGTGTTTCTCAAATTTGACAACTTGAAGATGTGTAATGTCAACCATCCCATTCAATCATCTTAATAAAGAAGGACTCTTGGCCCATGGTTGACCAAGAGTAAAGCTTAAGTGCTTACAGAAGTAGCAAAGCTGGATCTGATGTTTTTGTGTGCAAACAATACAATTAAACAATACAATGAACTCTCCATTTTCCCTGGCCATCCCCCTGTTATCAGTCACTGTCTAATTATGTGTCCTGTATTGTTTGGGCAACGGACCCTCAGGTTGTGGGCTTTTCAGCTCTGCATTCTGTGGTTGACCTTGGGCTGGTTGGTAAGTCTCATGCCTTTGCCTCGCACAGCTTGGTTCTGATCCAGTGATGGGTTCCGGATCCCATTGCAACCGGTACAGTGCAACAGGGCCGGGCGTTGTCCACATGCACACATGCAGCGCTTGCATGCGTAATTACTGTCCATGATGCTGCAGCTGCTCAGCGGAGCATCGTGCAGGCGCTGTATGCTCCGTATGTGTAAGCCCCGATCGACTCAAATACCGCTAAGGAGGATGGGCAGGCGGGTGGGCCCTCTGGAGCACCATACTGGAATGGTTTCTGGTGCTCCCAGCAGGCACTGGTACTCCCATACCAGGGCGTACCGGTTGTATCCCACCACTGTTCTGATCCCCCCCCCCCAATTCCTCCCTACATCCCAATCTGTCCTCCCCCAGTTGCTAACGTCAGGCTGTCAGCTTGCAATGCGTGGCCAGCAGAATGGCAGCTTGGCTGGCTGGGGAATTCTGGTAGCTGAAGTCCACCCATCTTTAAGGGGTCAACTTTGAGAAACACTGTTTTACAATTAATACAGGGTGAGCCAGGGTTGCACAATTGTGCACTTTCCGTGAGAATGGACAGAAAACACTCTTTTCCTCCTGAATGTCTATGGAGATTCTCAGTCATCCAGGGTTATCCCAAAGGTGCTTTTTCAAGAGGCAGCTGGACTTTCTGGTTTTTTTTTCTTTTGAAGACATTTCGCTTCCCATCCAAGAAGCTTCTTCAGCTCTGACTGGATTGTGGGGAATGGAAGGATCTTTTCCTCCTCTTCACCAGCCAGCTCAATCCCCAGAGGTTGGGCCTCTGATGTTCTGGAGCTCCCATCTTGCTGCATCCATTTACGTTAGGACTGCAACACCAAAAATGCCAGCACACCTGGATGGTGCCACACCGGGGAAGGCAGGCTGGAGCACGAGAGGAAGTGAATCAAAGTCTTTTGTGGTGCAGCAGCTGCACTCACTTCCGGGTTTTTCCATCAGAACTGATTTGGACTCCAGCACTTTCAGTAGGGGGGCTCCAGAGTGGAGGGAGGGGCTTCTCCCTGGGGTCTGCATCCTCTCCCCGGGATGCTCAATGCCCCAAAGAGCACAATCAGGATGGCCACTGCATTTAGTTTGCACAAACGCCATTCCCCGAGAGGTTGATTTTTCTTCCCCAGGAGCCTTTGACTGACCACAGAGGAGCCAGAAAAAGGACTTTTTCACACTACGTTGGTTTTCCTGCTTAAAAAAAAGAGCTTGTTGATGTGGTCTTTTAATCGGTATTTGTCAGCCACCACAGCCGAGCTTCAGATGTGCAGAGCGAACCACAAGGATCAAATTAGGGAAACCATCCGTTGTCTTAAAGTATGGACCAGGTGACTGTAGCATTTGCAGAGTCTTCGCCCTGGTCAAGCTCCCTTAATTTACTGTTCTCAAACTATTGTCTGTGGACCCTGTGTGTGTGTGTGTGTGTGTGTGTGTGTGTGTT